GCCTTTCCTTTTTCTCCTTTTCTTTTCTTTTTGCTGCAGTGATTGACCTTCTACTGGGCTTGCTTCCAGTTTAAAACATTCTTTGAAAGCATCATCGAGACAGGCAAATTTTGCCATGGAGTAGCCACGTGTAGGGGCAGGAAATTTTGCTCTTTTGAGCATTTTTGTGCATATCTCAGACTCCATTGGGCTGATCACTCTGATCTGGGTGTCATTGGAAAGATCTTTTCCTCCTGCAGAAGTTGAGCATAGATGATGCCAATTTTGGTCAAGGAGGATGATGTCAGAAGTGGAAGAAAGGCCAAGGTTCGTCATGGCCGGTTACAGCCGGCACAGGAGTCAATGGGTTAAAACCAAAACTAATTGCTCTAAACGCATGCGCAGATTAGTTAGCGTCCGTGGCTTCTGTATTAGGTGGAGGATACATTACATACGGAATCACGCACAAATGTTGTGTGGTTTTCCTTACGGCAGAACTACTCAACATGTAAGATGCATGCGCTCTAGCATCGTTAGTGTTATACAGTATGTTTCCTTGCAGTATTTTATATGTTATGTCATGTGACTGAGGGCAGCAGTTATTTTTCAGGTAGCGCCACTTGTCCCTTTTTATTGAAAGTGAAACATTACTGTGGTTGCGTGGCTTGTAGAATTACACACAGGTCAGTTCAACAAATATCATCTGCTGTTTTCAATCTACAATAGTGTGATTGTCAGGGTTCAAATGTATTGCTTCTCCTTAGCACCTTGTTTACTTCTTGCCTTAATTGCGTCTGTAAGAGAGACCAAAAAGTTACCAAATTGTAAATTTGTGACAAAAGAAACCAGGAAAGAGCTCAAATATTGATGCAGACTCTGTAGCACCTAATGAAAGTGCAAATTAGCTTAATCAGTCTTTGAGGAGACTCATTCATATTGGTCAGGTAGCACTGTTTACCTTCAATACTTTTCATTGAAACGCTTCTCAGCCATCAATATCGTTGTGTACTAATTTTGAATTGTTTTATTGTTAACAACAAAGGTGGCAACAGAAAAAGAAACTGATATTTCGTGACTATCTGATAATTTTAAAAATTAGTTATTGTTCATCGGTGATAAGAAAATTTGCGTTTTTAGCAAAACAACATCGTTTCTCTTCCATTTCTTCATCACTACATCAGATATTTAACTTTCTTTCATTTATTTCCAAAAAACAAGCACATCTTCCGTGTGTTTTGGAGAAAACAAGGGTTTCGTATTACATACCTTTACGAGGAAAACAAAAGTATCAAGTTACAAAGTTGGCGCAAAGAGCTTAATTGTCAAGTTTGCTGCTTCAACGTATTATTGAATTTAAAAGGAACGACAATCAACGTAAAACACCAATAGTAATTGTATGTAATTTTTGGACCTTGAATGAAAATACAACCTTGAAACATACACACTGCTAAGGGAAAAAACCCTAGCAGACTACCAAGGTAGATATAAACTGGAAGTGAACCGAGTACTGTGCCATAGCTATCAATTGCACTCTGCCCTATATGAGATTGCCTCACTAGTTTATTTGAATACCATGCCTTATTTACAGTATTTACATTACTATTCAGTGCAGAGTGCACAACTTGGATTGTTTAGGGTTTGACATCTGCTAAAGCCTATGGCAATAACGCATTAACTTGTAAACTTTAATGTTTGTTTAATTAATAGGGGAATGAATAACAAAGAGACATACATGCATATACATATGGCCATACGTATGTGTGTGACCAAATGTGTATATGCAAAACCTGTACATATGAAAAAACGCACATGTAGATTGTGGGCACATGGTTCACTTATTTCTGAGCTGCACGGTACATGTAAATAGAAGTCCATACATGTATGCACTGAGCACCTGTTACTTGTTCTCAAGACTGGCTTACTGGATTTTAGAGATCACCTTAGAGCGTGGTCCAGGAATCGAGGTCTTTAATACTGGCTTGTCATACTCTTGAGAAGGTCCTGAGCTGAACTGGGCTGCTACAACCTGCAAACTACAGTGTACTAAAACAACCATGCATAATAAATTAATACACCTTTCAATTTCTCAATATTAAAATAACAAAATTTTGACTCGTAAAACAGCATAAACGTTGGGAATTATAATGCACAATGAAACAAGTGACATGTCTAAACAAAGGTATAACTTTCCCAAGAAACTGATGGGCTGTGTCAGCAACAAGTGAAACATCAAGCTACTTGAAGTTGATAAAGGTACATGACAGACCCTAGTGAATTTATGAAGCTGACATTTCAAATGTTTGTCTTTTCTTTTCTGCTCTTGAATTAAGCCCAACATGAATTTAAAATGTAATTGGCAAAATTATTTATCCTGGGTGCTTCATCTTATTGCTGGGCCATTCAACAAACATCTACATGTAATTTGTTAAATATCCTGTCAAAGTAGCCATCAAAATAACAAATCAATGCAGTTATGCAAATGCA